TATATATATATATATAAATAATCCAATAATAAATAATTCAATTTAAATAATAATAAAGAACAAAAAGATAAATGGATTACACAAAATGCGTGATAACAATCTATGAGACAGTTGTCTAAAATATTTTTTTACCTTCTTCAATAATATAATTGATATTTTTGAATTCAATTTACAGCTCTTTCTACATTGTAATAGTAACTTAATTAGTTTTGTCTTCGTAAAATATGAATGTTAACGATAATAAATTAAAGATGACAAAGATATCAGCAAATCAGTGCTATAAAAAATTATGGCTCACTAATTGGAGAGCATTGTCAATCCTTTCAAAATCAAAAAGAAAGTTTTATAAGATTAGCAAAATAATATATTTACTTTACAATGATCTCAGACATATAATTAAATATGAATGGCTAAAAATAATATTTTGCTTTTTCAATTTTTTAATCGCGATGAGTAATAAGATTGAACAGGTGATCACTTTTTTATCTGTGCACTTAACCTAAAATTAACAATAAAAAACCGCGAATAAATACAGATAACCAAATAAAATGATAACCTGCAATATATTCGTTCATAAATCAAGATAATCGAAAAATATGATGGATTAACAAACAAATATACCTGAGGAATGTACTATGCTGCTGCACAACGCATTAGTTCATCACTTAACTGATTGTATGTCCGACATATCTGACAACCACAATGAACGATAAGTGGTGGAAGGAACTCAACTCTTGCGTATCTCTAAGCCAATGAGAATGTGACATCATATGCTGCCATGTTGCTGCGATTATTTAAATTAATCATGTAATGAGTATTTTGCTTAATTTTGTGTTTTTAATAATATTTGTTTACAATATGTAATATAATAAATTTGATTTTATCTTTTGCTATAAAAATTAATTTTTCACAAGCTTCTTCCTACTTTAATATTAATGCTTTCTCTTTTGAGAAGAGATAAAAATATCTCTAAATTCTTCTTTTCAATGATTATTTTATGTTTTTATTTGGCAACTACTAATTTTTATTCTTGAGTTGTCACATCAGAATTACCGCGCTATAAATGTATGGTTAAATAATTCAAATTTAAAATTGAATTGCCTTGATTTATTTATATAATATAAAAAACAAAAAAAATTTTATTTTTTTTTAAATACAAAAATTTAGCACAAAATAATACTGATAAAATAATTTAGGTCAATACTTTTCAATTAAATAATCAAACTATACTCTTTATTTTGAATTTAGTACCTCATGATAATTAATTTGGAATGTAAAAAGCAGAATGTTTCGGCATGAATATTTATATTATAATTTATATTATAATTTATATTATAAAGAATTAAATATTTCGTTTAATATATGTATAATACATTAATATTTATAGATAGACGATTGGTGTTTAAGAGATAGTTAACGGCCTTGGTATTTAAGAAAATAGTTATGAGAAACGAGAATAAAGTATACTTATTTCTTGTGTGAAAAAAATCATTTTTGATAAACAATATAACAAATAATTAAATTCTTTATTAAATTTTTGAGTTTGAACACACTCTTTATCTGATTTTTTTTTTGACATTTTGATCACCCTTCAGAAAATTCAAATTTTCAGACTTAGAAATTTTTTATATCCTGATTCTTAAATTTTGATATCAAATTCTCGATAATATTCTCCTAATACTTTAGTTATTTCTGAGAATTTATATTTGTTTTACAGAAATAAAAACATAAGAAAATAAAAAAGATTTTCAGAACGCATAAATGATGCTTTAATTGGTACAATCTAATAATAATGTAAAAACGTTTCAGCAATTTGTAGGCATTTCGGTGATTGTATATTTTCATATAATTTGACATGTTTTCAAACATAAACACTACGTGATTAATTATTATTCTCTAACATAGAATATTTCATTAAAAAATTTATAAAAACAATAGAATAAAATACTGATTTAATTTTTGCCGCAAATTTATCAATAAAACTGTTCCACAATTCTACTTAATAAGTTATGCTGATAAAACAGCTACTTGCTGCTAAGCTGCTGCAATGAACAAATCTGCTACTAAATCGACATGCTATATTTTCCTCATCAAGGAAACAAATATTTTTTATAAAAAAGTATTAATAAAATTGTAATAATAAATAGTTAATAAATAAAAATAACTAACAATAATATGTTATAATTCTTATTTTATTTACTTGCAGTTCTATTATCACATATGTTTTACAATCCCAACAATAAAAACATATTTAATGGTGTAACATCGCATCGTGTATATGTATATTGTTCTATGTACAATATG